AAAATAATAAAGGACTAGATGGCATCATCACGGTGCAGCATTTGTGGCTGGCATATAGTTGAGGTTTTCTGCCCACTGCTTACAAGATTATAAATAATAAGAAAATGACAGGAAAAAAAGTTATGTTGTTTTGGTAAGTGTTTTACGGCGCCCGCAACTGCATAAGGTCATATGAGCGCGCAGGACACACCAAACATTTTCAGTGGGTAGGAAATTTTGAATTTTGCCTGCGTGGCGGCCAAAGCCTACGGTTTTAGACCACCAAGGGATCTTTATGTGCGCAACCTGCACACGGGACCTCCGAGATTTTTCGCCATTATCCGAGAAGGCTAGGTGTAGATCTTTTCTACCAGAAGATCAGGGGTGTAGTGGAGAGACAGCAGTAAGAATTAGCCAAGGAGAAGCAGTAGAAAGAGTCAGGAGCCCAGAGGAGGGGGCAAAGGAGGTGAGGGCAGAAAGTGGAGACGAAACATTGTTATAGAGCAGGAAAGAAGGTGAAAGGAGACAATTTTTTAAAAGAAAATTCTTGGGTCGCAACCTGGATTCGAACCCGGTACCTTTGAATGAGAGGCGAACACCTTAACCTCTACGCCACGAGGCTCCCCCCAAAAGTTAGAACCTTGTGTTATTTAGATGCCATTAATGTGTGGTATGTGTGTGGTGTGGGGCTGGGATGAGGGGTGTCACAGCATTGAGAACACACTTGTACCTTGTTGAGACTCTGCATCAGCATCTTCCACCTCCTCTTCTTCTTCAGGATCCCCGTCGCCTTCGAGGAGAGAGTCATCTTCTTCCACTTCAACATCTTCTGTCCGTCTACAAAGATAGACAAAACAAGTGACACTGAAAATAGCACACCGATTGAATACATGACATACTCACTTCGTGTAGGGATATCAAAGAAAGTATCCTTCACCTGTGCAAACATTACAATACTTTCTCCAACAGAAGAATTCTACCAATACAAGATTAGGAAAGTCACACGTTTACACGAAAAACTTTTATTTTTCCCCCCTTCTTTACATGGCACTGCAAGAGTATAATATAATCATCAGAGTAAATTGTGCTAAACTGCAACAACAGTACTTACATGAAATGATAAATTAAATAAATAAAAAAAGGGTGATAAATATTGCAAGACTTACTGGGAATTAAGAAAAAAAAAATGCCCACCCTACATACATAAAATAGAAAACAAACTGTCACATAACCCCTCCCCAAAAACAAACAAACAACAACAACCCCAAACAAACAAAAACACACACTCCATACTCTGCGAATCACCAAGGCTTAATAAAAACAAAAATAACACCCTGAATAAGTATAAACTGAGTAACATTTGTTAAAAAATTTCTTAAATGGTTGTGTGACGTTTTTTTTTAAAAAGGTGATAAATGTTATCAATGAACTGTAAAATGATGTCCCACACAATGTAAGAACAAAATTCAAAGAGATACACAAAAGAAAAACACAATGTTTGATGTAAGAGTACAAAAGGATCTCTTTGATGATGTTAGTGGCGATAATGAAAGAGATGCGATGATCTTGTTTGGCCGATGCTGCTACATACCCCTGGCTCTCCTGAGTTTGCTCTGTGATGTACTCTGAAGGATCAATGGTAGACGGGCCACTCTCCATACCTATTCCCTCCTCAGACTCCTGTGTAGCTGGCATGGGTTCTGATTGTGTTAAATGATGGAGAAATAAAAACAACACAGGCTAAAACAAAGAATATAGTTACAAAAGAATTTATTTAAAAAAACAAAAACTGAGAGACAAAAAAAAAGACATAAAAATAGGTTGAAACAAACAAAAGACAAACAAAATAATTCGATTTTTCTAAAAAGAGATAAAACATTCCAAACACAAAAAACAGAGATAAAAGAGATGCATTAACATTTTGTTCACTTAAGAGTCCCTTCAGATATTTATTTAGCAGTGAAAAATGGTGCATAGCTGCCAACTTTTCAAAACCAAAAAACAGACCACCCACGTCGTGGGTCAAAATGGTGGGCAGTAGCCAATCCAAACCCTTCAAAATACTTTTCTTGATTTCAATTAATTCAAGCTATTTATAACAAAAGATCTCTCCGACTGACTGGGTTTTGTTCTCGTTATTATTCGCAAATGCAGTTTTAAAAGTTCATAATTTTTCTGTTCGCGATGAGCAACACTAAAAAAAAGAGAATACGTATTTTCCGCACTGCTGCCTACCTCAGAGTTCCCGTTTCAGGTAAGTTCAGGGTCAGTTTCAGATATTTTGGCCCAAAATCAGGTAGTGCAAAGACAAAGGGGGGGGGAAAAAAGTTGATCGTTGCCAGTACACGTAGTTACCATCGAGCAGGGCATGCTGTTTGTGATATTGGGTAATTATATTTTGAAAACTTGTGTGAGTATGTTTGTGTGTGTGTGAGAGAGAGAGAGAGAGAGAGAGAGAGAGAGAGAGAGAGAGAGAGAGAGAGAGAGAGAGAGAGAGAGAGAGAGAGAGAGAGAGAGAGAGAGAGAGAGAGAGAGAGAGAGAGAGAGAGAGAGAGAGAGTCTGTGCGTATCCAGCGCTTCCAACAGCTGAGGCTAGAAAGTAATGAAAATCTTGCTGGGGGTCTGGGGGCTGCGTAGGCCCCCCAGCAGGGTTTAAGGACAGCGTCACTGTGGGGATTCAGGGGGCTTAAAATATGACATTTAGTGCTTTTAGAGGGTTGAAAATGGCATTTGGGAGCCTGTTTGAAGAAACTGAAAACAACATTTAACACTTTTTTTTATTACCAAGATTTTGTCTTTTTGGATTACTTCACCTGCATAACTTTCCATTGCTGGTAATGTTTATAAGCTGGTTCCCCTTGCCATTGCCACTATAATTCAAATAATTTGTCATCGCACCATTGACAGTAGGTAAATCTGTGAACACTAATCTTGACTATACAATCACCAAGCATGTACTCTAATTTTCCTTCATTTACGCGCTGGACTGTCGAATGTCCAAACATTGGAGGTTTGAACAAAAATATTTTAGCATCAGTTTCTTGCACAACAGCTTTATTCCCCGGCCGTAAAATCCTCCTGACCAATTCCCACATTTAGACAGATCTGCGAAAGTTTAGCTCTGCTACTGATTTTCTTTCAACATTTGCAATTCCGTTTTCATGATAAATGCACAGATTTTCAAGCCGCAACCAAAGATAGTAAATAACAAGATGGGCCACTCAGCCAAAAAAGTGTCCGCAGGAAGTATGCTCTTTGCTTCAGATGGCGCTGCAGTCTGTTTTGAAGCTCTCTTTCGTTTTTCCAGAAGAAGAATAGGAATAGCACCTCCTTGCTTGCGCAGATCGACTGCTGTTCATCAGCAGTTCGGGTACGTTCAGTGCGGAGTTTTATTTTATTATTTTTTTTAAAATGACCTCTTGCCTTTCATTCTAAAGTCAAATTAAACGAAGAAAACCATCACCCTTTCCTCCGGAAGAGATTTTTTGTCAGCGTAACCATTTAAAAGCGTTCTTCCGAAATTTATCCCAAAACTTGCTAGTTTCACTTTGATTTTTAAAAACTCAAGTAGGGTAACTCTGTTCGCAAAGAGTGCGCTTTTGTGAAGAGGGCGCCACCAAATTTTGAGGACACTTTTTTAATTGGCTCAAAGAGAGAAGTGGCCCATCTTGTTATGTACTATCATTGCCGCAACAAAACCCTGAAGACAGATAGAAAGCATGTATGAAAGGTAGGAGGAAGATTGCCAGATTTTAGCCGATTTGCACGTGAAAATCTCTATTGCCAACTGAACCGCACAGAGGGAGAAGGATCCAGTGTGTGAAATGCGCAATCTGGCAGTTTCTAACAACTTATTGCCGAGAATTACCATAAACATCCGAGAAGTTACGGATGCAAGTACTGATACTATGTTACAGAATGCCGATAATAAGCTAAAAGAGCTACCGTCTCTCTCTTTTTTGTAATGCATGGAATTGGTAAAAGATGATGCGGCAAATACGGGACTTTCGGAATGTAGGGATTTTCGCAAAAACTGGGAAGATTAGAAACACTTCAGAACTGCCTTTTTTAAACTTTTCCTCTCAGTGCCCTTCGCAAATCTGGTAGTTTTGACCCCTTTATCGGTACGGTGGTAGAACAGGCCCAAAATCGGTAACTACCGGGAAAATAGGTAGATTTAGGCAGCCCTGTCTCCGATACAAAAATAGACTTCTGTACTTCCCCTCGAAAATTTATTAAATACGTTTGTTTTTACAAGTTAGCTGGCAGTTAATATGGTGAAATGTGGAGCAAGCCCTGACCTGCTGTGCCAGTCTGTGGTGTGGGAGTGCTGGGAGCACTGCGACCTCCGGCCTCATCAAACTGAGACAAGTCCATGCGGGTGTCGTCCATGCCCAGGGCTGCAGCGAAGAAAAAAAATGTTAATTATAAAAACAAAACAACAGCAGCAAGTCGTCACATCAGTTTTTAGTTTTAGTACATTTTACAACCTTCAAACACACAATTAGGTCATGTAAGCGCTGAAGATTAGACTAATAAGAGGGATTACTAGAGAGTAACATAATACAAAGAAGGAGTAAACCACACCAGAGCACCCGCCAACCACCCACTCATCACTGCAACTGCTGTATTTCTCAAGGAAAGGAACTAGGGATAAGGAAAACTGAAAGAAACTAGAAAATCAGCAACAATGTTTTAATCTACTTTTGACACAATATTGGGAGGGCCCTTAGTTTTACTACGGGAGAGCAAAGAATAATATCTGCCATGATACAGTGAGGGCCAACTGCCGGACCCTGTAAAAATTGAAAGTTACAGAAATACTAGCAGAAATATTTATTTATTTTTCGAAGGAAGAAGGCCGCGGCGATGGATAAGACATGCTCTCGGGAAGTCAGTCAGCTGCATAACAAGAAAAGTGTTGGATTGGAACCAACAGGGCAAAAGATCTCAAGGGGAAGACCAAATGAAATTTCTCTAGAGAAGAGTCACAGAAATTTATGTACAGAAGATAAGTGGGAAGACATAGAAATAACATAAAGAGGCCAGGAGAGGGAAAGGTGGAAAGTGTTTGTTCCTGGCCTGATGGAGGGTGAGAAAGGCGGTGATGATGATGATGGTTCAGACAATATTTTTAGACGGTCAGCTACTTCAACCCTGCCTGGGCTGTGTGGGATACTATGTATCCAAGTAGAAAGGCAGAATACTCAATAGGTAGGAATCTCCCCAACATGAGAATCAAACTCTCTTTCGCATGCAAGGCAAAATGCTTAACCATCACATTTCAAATGCCAATGAAATAGTAAAAAGAGCAGAGAAAACTACAAGTCCTCTGACTACAAGAGGAGTAGAAAGTCTGGTTCGTTTAAATCCTAGTAAAGTTTAACGGAAAAAAAACCCCTGCAACTAACTGCAGAGTCTGAGCTTTTCATCATTTTCATCACAAGACTAAGAAACTCAACGAGCTCTGTCTCTATAATGATGACAGATTTTGCTAAAATATAAGAGAGGGCATCAAAACTATGGTCTCAGAGACCACTAAATGTTTCTTTATCTCCTGAATATAATGATATACAGACTGTATTTGAATTAACATAGTTTACTCCGAAAATCAGTCAAGGTTTACAAAACAGCTGAATCTGATGAAAAAAAACAACAACTGAGGAAACATTTTCCTCACCGAATCAACAAAAATACAACAGGTTTCAAAATAAAAAAAGATATGGAAATTCATAAAGAAAGGCCAAAAATCTTAGATATATATTTTATTTGATGTCAAGATCAGTTTACAACAAACCACAGCCCAGTCAACAAATCTAGAAAAAGCAAAATTGCACTTTTATGTTATGTCACAACTGCATAAGCAACAAAGCCCAAAAATATAAAATACTGAGTAATATGTACCATCTAGACATCTGAGGTCTGCAACTGAGAATCACATGAGATTGTCCACTGTAAAGTCTAATAAGCTGAATGGAAAAGCTTTTTTTCTACCTATGCCCCTAGAATTTGAAATTCTCTCCCCCAAAAAATGAGTATTATAACGTCAGAAAATGATTTTTTAAAAGTTATAAAGCCGCATTTGTTCAATGTTATCCTCTGCTATTAAATTTTGTATGTGAGTCTGGGAGGTGTGTGTGTGCCTGTGTGTGTGTGTGTGTGTGTGCGCGCGTGCGTGAGCGTGCATGTGTGCCCCTATCTATGTGTGTGTGTGTTGTTAATGGTCTCACAATGTACCTTTTCTCTCTTGTGATTCATCGGTTAAATGATAATTCTGCAGTGTACAGCGCTTACAGCCATATAGGAATTACGCACTAGATAAATTCTCATTATTATCAATAATATATCATTATAAAGTTCTCAAAGTTCTCCCGCTGTTTTACCTCTCTGAGACTCCAGCTGTGCCAGGTCAGGGTTGTTGGCTCCTTCAACACCAAACACAAATCTCTGTGCGACAGCCGGGGAGCTGAGGAAACGGAGAGCCATAGAAACAGTTATGTGATCATCATGGAAAAACAGCACAGCAGTACCCCCACCATGACCACAACAGCAGCTGATAGGTCACAAAAATATCAAAGGGATTGTTCGTGAACCCCATTCTTCAACTCTCTGACCGTACACCTCGCTGTAATTGCCTCTGCCAGATAGTTAATTTCATTTCCTCTTTGACATACAGCATAGTTGCCACAAAGACTCATACTTCCATCACATACTAAAATTCCATTTCCTCTGATAGCGACGTATCGACTAGCTGCTCAGAGAAATGACCAAAATTGAAAAAAAAAAGGCATCTGTCCTGGACCACATCTCATCATTTTACGATGTGCAACTGAGAACTGAATCAATGATCTTGCCGCTTTGAGTGCGACACTACAGCAACCTGACAAGAATGACAAATATTCTTATAACATATTCTAAGAATTATACTTTCTATTCCATGTTGATGGGTGAACAAACAAGACATTTTGTCATGGCTCACAGATTTGCCCAATCTCTCAAAAAAGTCAAAATAGCTTTCATTAGATATATCAGTAAAGAACAAAACATGTTCTCATATTATGAAGAACATATCAAAAGTAAAAGTAAAAAGGGAAGGCAAATGGCATGTTATAATACTGAAGACAGACAGGTGAGCAGAACAGAGGCACAGGAAGCTGTACCCATACACGGCACTCCCAAAAGAAATGCTGCAGTCAGTAAGAAATGAGGAAAAGGACACGCGTTAGCTTGTTGTACGTACTCTCGAGTTGGTATGACAACCCCCAATTTTAGCCCCAATGGATTAGGACAACAGTTTGAGATCAAAACAGAGAACCCATCAACATCCCCCCCCCCCCCCCCCAAAGGTCAAATACATACTTGAGGGCTTCAGCAAAACCATCTGCTCGTCTCGGCTGGGACAAGGTGGGTGTACTAGGCACAGTGCAGTCGTCTTCTTCAAAAGGGTTGACAGCTCCCTGAAATGATGAAAAAAGGTGTAAACGTTGTATCTGACATAACATGATCTCTGTGCCC